CGCTGTCCTTGAGTGTGGTGGTCACCGCCCTTGGCCATGGTGGTCATCGCTGTCCTTGAGTGTGGTGGTCACTGCCCTTGGCCATGGTGGTCATCTAGCTAATGTCATTGTCACCGCTGCTGTCACCGCTGCCTGTCCTCATGTCTGCTCTCGGTCCACAGTGATGAGCGGCAGCAGCCACTCGCCGACAGGCATCAACGGTGCGCCGTCCACACCCAGCGGCTTCAGCAATGGCCCGGCCACCTCGTCCACGGCCTCCTTGTCCACTCAGCACCTGCCCCCGGCCTGCGGCGCCCGGCAGCTCAGCAAACTCAAGCGCTTCCTCACCACGCTGCAGCAGTTCGGCAGCGACATCTCCCCAGAGATCGGCGAGCGGGTGCGCACGCTGGTGTTGGGGCTCGTGGTGAGTGGGGGGCTTGGAGGGGGGCTTGGGGTGGTGTGGGCTCAGGGTGAGTGGGGGCTCAGGGTGAGTGGGGGCTTATAGTGGGTGACAGCTCGTGGTAAATGGGGGTTTGGGGAGGGTGGGTGACTTGTGAGTGGGGGCTTGAGGTAGGTGGTGGACTCATGGTGAGTGGGGGCTTATGGTGAGTGGGGGACTTGAAGTGAGTTGGGGGCTCAGAGAGTGGAGTATGGATATGTATTCTGGTGCTGGGGCTCAGGGTGAGTCAGGGGCCTGGGAGGACCACCCTTCACACTACTGTGGGCCCAGCTAGTCTGTACCTCACTCTCGGCCATCCCCAATGGGACCAGGACAAAGGGTGCTTCAGGCCCTGAGCCGTACTGACCTGGCTTGTCCCCTGCCCAGAACTCCACGCTGACCATCGAAGAATTTCACTCCAAGCTCCAGGAGGCCACCAACTTCCCCCTGCGGCCATTTGTCATCCCCTTTCTGAAGGTAGGTGGACCCTCTGCAGAACGTCCATCCTTCGGTGCCTGGGCCCCTGAGCCTGGGACTGCTGGGAGTGGAGCTGGGCAATCAGAACACACTCCCCTGTCCAAAGCTTTAAACTGGCCAGGACTCGTCTGCACCTCAACTCAGTTCTGTGTCCATGTCCAAATTCACCCACTCACTTGACAGATATTTCTCATCCATGTGAAGGAAGCTGGTGTCGCGGTGCACTAAGTGCTGGGCTGTAACTAACAGAGGTTCACATCTACTCTGCTCCATGGGGAAGGATGTGTCCGTCTGTTCCCATAGAGATCTCTGCCATCAGTCAATTCTGACTCCTGGTCGCCCTCCACCAGGCCGCCAAAGCCACCTACCCTCCTGGGAGGAGGCTGCCCATCTTTCTCCCAGAGAACAACTGACCCTTCGGTTAGCGGCATCCCAGTTACACAGCTGGGGCTCCCCCATTAATTCACACCGATTTGTGTTTGTAGGGTTGCTGTGAGTGGTAGTCAATTTGATGACACCTAACAACATTTCTAAGCACGTCTTCGGATATTTCATTTGAAAGAAGTGGTCTAGTTAGTGAGGTGCCGTCCACCCGGCCAGGCCTGCTAGCCTGAACAGCCGAGCGGCACTCCATCCTGGTCACCCTCAGTCCCCACCAGGCTCAGTCACTGTCCCGTTGAGGGGCTTCCTCTCATGGCTGACACCCCCCTCCTTTCTCAGCATGATGTCTCTCTCCAAGGACGGCCCCTCCTGACAGCAGGCCCCCAGCCTAGGATGTAGCCTCACTGTCCTGGGCTCAGGAGCTCCACGGCGGCACTTTCTGCAAAGCAGACCTGTTCTCTTGGCTGTCCGTGAGACATTCAGACCCTTGGCCCACACCACAATTCAAAGGCATCAATTCTTCGTCTTCCCTATTCATTGTCCAGATGCATAGAAAGCAGCTGAGAAAGCACGGTTTCGATCAGGCCCATCTTTGCAGCGGCGGCCATGGCCCGTGGCGATGGCCCCACAGCTGGCTGCCCCTCGCAGATCCTGTGACCAGCAGTAAAATGAGGTTGCTGGCAGGCTCTCCAGTGCTGCCTCTCATCCGCTGGGGCGGGGTTTTGTTTTCTTGGTGCTGAGACGTGAGCCACATAGAGTGCTGTAGTCTCCACCTCCTTTGATAAATGTTTTAAGTCTTCTTGCTTTTGTGCAAATAGTGCAGGTTATTGATGAGTCCTCCTCTGATCCCAATGCCACATTCTTCTTCATAGAGCCCCCTTCTCAAGGGATTTGCTCAGCATGCAGACTGAATAGGTGTGGAGAAAGGACAGGCCTCTGACGCACATGCTTCCTGTCTTTACGCTAAAGCCCACTGCTCCTGGTGACCTGGGAGGGGACTGGCATCCTCCCTCGGTAGACTTGAACTGCCAACCTTGCGGTCAGCAGCTTTGCACCTTGCCCACCATGGCAATCCTGTGGGGCCATTCTACTCTTTCCTATAAGGTCGCTATGGATCGGAGTTGACTGTCACACTAGGTCACGCCACACCAGGAACAGGGCTGGCTCTGGAGACAGTGTGAGCTGAACAGACAAAGCTGACCCCTGGGGCAGGCTCCTGAGCCCTCATGTCATGCAGCATCATGTGGGGGCACATGGGGGGACATGGGAACACTGCAGGTATGATAGTGGGAAGGGTCAAGGCCCTGAGGCATGACAGTGCCTGGAACAGCAAAGGGACTAGCGATGCTGGAACACGTGAGCAGGGGACAAGGAGGAAGAGATGAGGCAGGCGGATGGATGGACAGACAGCAGGCTGTCACAGACAGGATTTTGTGATCCAATAAGTGATGGCCAAAGGGGCACTGAGGAGCTCGTGGGGCACCGGGACCTCTGGCTCCAGCCCACACCTGTTGAGGCACGTGAGACTTTATCGAGACACTGCGGCATTCACACGCCCAACGACAGGCGCAGGCCTGCTGTGGCCAAAGGCATCTTCACCAGAGTCCCCCACAAGGTCTCATCCTGGAGAGGGAGAGAGGCCCAGTCACCTCCCGGGAGCAGAGCCGACTCACAGCCAACCCTCCAGCGGCTTTCTGAGGGAGGAGACTGTCCATCTGTGTTCCATGGAGCAGCTGGTGGATTCGAACCTCCAGAGAGATGCCACGTTTGGGTCAGCAACACAGCTTTCTATGGGTTACAGAACCAGAGCTCCTTCCAAAAGAGAGCCACATGTGGCCACAGGACCCTCAACCTTGAGTGGCTCTGCAGACAGGGCCCAAGGGCACCGGAGAGCCACCCTTGAGCACCCTGCCTCCAGCCACTGCGGCCATCACCCTCAGAGTCACCATGATGGCTCTCCGCTGGGCCTGCCTCCCAGGGCGTCTTCACAGAGACCAGACCCACCACTCAGCCTGGAGCCCGACCTGCCCCTTACCATCTAGGGGCCCCTGACCACTGCTCTGTGCCTCAGTTTCTACAGCTTCAAAGGTGGGCCCCCACAGCTGTGGGGACTATCATCATCATCATCATCTGGAGTTTAAAGATGCTTCTGAAGAGGAACCCCTGATAAGACCGGTGACCTCCCCTCCACTGACCACCAGCCACAGCCCCACAGAGGCCATGTGGGCACTGCTGACCATCAGTGTCCTGGCAGTGACACCCCAACCCCACAGCGTTAGCCCAGCACTCCCTGCTCCCCCCCAGTGTCACCTCCACCCACTCTCTGGAGAGGCTTTGGGCCCATCTGGCAGTCATTTGCAATTCATCAGGAGCAGCCCTCTGCTGCTTTTGACTTAGTGCTGACGCTGCTGCCTCCCATCTTCGGGGACAGGACGCGGGGTGGGGGTGGGGCAGGCCAGTTCCATCGGATCAGCTATGGGCAGCAGATGTCCTGGCTGCGCAGCACCTGCCCCTGTTTGTCCAGGAGCAGAGGCAAGAAAGCCAGCCCCCGCCGGCCGCCCCTCCTGCACAGAGGCTCGGATGGAATGCTGCCTGGTCCAGCACTGCCTCCGTCTCGCCTGCCCACCGGGGCCCAACGCTCAGGGAGCTTGTGGATCGCATCACCAAGTGTGATAATTCAGACCCAACAGAGGAAGCCCGGCTCCTTTCTGCCCAGAACCCAGGGCTAAGGCCATGACCCTCAGGGCCCCCGGGATGTCACAGGATCCAGTGCATCTCCCAGACATGGAGCTGCTGGGCGCACGCCAGGAGGTTCAAAAATAAAAAACAAAAATAAAAGATGGTGACAGCCAGCTCCATTTCAAGGTTTGTTTACTGGATGCCAGCTGGTGCCACCTCTGGTCCTGGGGCACCCTGGCCTTAGTGTCTGCTATAGAGTGTCCGTGGCCTTCTCCGTCTGTGGGGCCACTCCCAATTTAGAGCCCAGACCCGTGAAGGAAGCCATTGCAAGACTGGAGAGCTGACCTGTCCAGAAGGCCTGACCCATCCAGGAGAGCTGACCTGTCCAGGAGGCCTGACCCATCCAGGAGAGCTGACCTGTCCAGGAGGCCTGACCCATCCAGGAGGGCTGACCTGTCCAGGAGGCCTGACAGACTAGGAGCACTGACCCACCAGGAGGGCTGACCTGTCCAAGAGGGTTGCCCCACTGTCCCACCAACCCACATCCTCACCCACTTACATCCACTGCAGATAAACTGGCAAGAATTCACCATGTACCACCGACCCCCATGGGGCTTGCATCCTTGTGGTTCCAACAACCCTTCTGGAAGAATCACGTGACTGTGGCCAGAAGGTTAAGCCAGGCCACTTACAACACTGGGTCTTGGCCTTGATAAAGGTTTCACATAATGATTATTTCTGCTTCAGAGTGTAGAACCAGTGAGCTTAGTCCACAGGCAGCTAATGGTGGCAAGCAGCGGACCCCCGAGGTCACACAGCCACCAGGAGGCAGAGCTTGCCCAGCTCAGCTGCCTGGAATGGACTCAACACCTGGCATCCAGGTGTGTCAGAGCAGGGCTGTGGCCGTGGGGCTGGCTCGGCTTCCAGACGCATCTCAGGCCTTGCTTCCTTGGCTCCTCTGGGTGGACTTGAACTTCTGTCTGTTTGGACTGAGCATGTTAATGGCAGACAGTTGGTAGCTGGTGCTGCTGTTGACATCACAGGGCAGAAGCAGTTGTCACTGCCCAAGTTCTGGGGGGACAGAAGCTCTGGACCCTATGCCAGTCACCACTCAGATGCGGGGCCACGGTTTGCGGGCTGTGGGAAGGCAGGCTTGTCCAAGGTTCCAGTGGGGCCTGCCCTGGGGTCCTAAGCTGCTTTTCGGGAGGAATCTGTGCTGGAACCTTATAGTCCCAGTCCAGAGCTCTCTCTTCCCAGCCACACCCTTTACAAGGCAGGGAGATGCCGCCTGCCCAGCCAGTCTGCCCTGCAGCCCGGCTCCCAGCTGGCCCCAGCTGGCCAGGAGTCCAGATGTTCTCACTGCCCTGACAGCAGCCAGCCGGTGCCTGACATGTCCCTCTCTGCCATGCTGGCCACACGGCTCCCTCCCCTCCCCAGCCCAGGGCGGCCACTCTGGAAGGAGGGAAGGGCGGATGTTTGGCGTCTTCAAACCTCCCCGGGTCCATATTTCCCAGCTCAAGTTCCTAACGTGTTCAGCAGATGGTGGGCTGGCCCTCGTTCAGCTATCTAAGTGGAAAAACAGAGCTGGCAAAAAAATGCAGCAGCCGCCTGATGGGCTAAGTGGATGCACTGACGGGGGCGCAGGCAGAAGGGGCTCCGTGCTCCATGAGAAAGTTGGGAAACTGTTTATTTACAAATACTTGGAACTGCTGGCTCTCCCAAGCGGCCTGCCTGCCGCTGGGCCTCCAGCCAGTGTTCTCAGCTCTGGGAAGATGCTGGGAGGTGGCAGGAAGCACCCAGCGGTGCATGCTGGGAGGCCGCTGGCCCCAGGGTCCAGCTGGGCAGAAAGGTAAGATGGTGCAGTGGTTAGTGCAGAATGCTGGCAGTGGGAGTTAAAATCTCGCTGTGCATCCCAGACAGGTCACTCTACAGCGCCTCCGTGTCATGTGCCCTTAGCCATACGTGGTGGGCTGTGTTGTAGGGCCCATGAACAGAGGGTTGAGTGCCACCATAGCTGGCACAGTCAGGCGATCAGGTAAGAGTCACCTGACACATGGGTGCAGGTTCAAGCCTTGTTCTAGGCCAGGGGCTAGAGACCCCCCCCTCTGGGAGAGGTGGTCCTGCCTGTGTAATGGACCACAGCTCTCCCCCCTCAAACCCAGCTTGGTCCTTCATACAACAGGGTACAGGCTGGACATACTAGTCACTGCATCCTCACCCCTCCCCATCCTCATTTAATCCAGCTTGATGACTAGATGTGGTTCCAGCCTCCACTGCACCCCTGAGCAAGTCCCCCGCCCCACCCCAAGCATTACAATCCCCTGAGTAGTCAGAGCTGACGGATCTAAGAGGCCACGCAGTGACAAGACCAGGCTATGCCCCCACCCCTCGCAGCAATCCAAGTCTCTCTCTACCCTGCAGGCCAACCTGCCCCTGCTGCAGTGTGAGCTTCTTTACTGCGCCCGCCTGGCCAAGAAGACACCCGCCCAGTACCTGGCCCAGCACGAGCAGCTCCTCCTGGATGCCAATGCCTCTTCCCCGGTTGACTCCTCAGAGCTCCTGCTCGAAGTCAACCAGAATGGCAAGAGGAGGACCCCCGATAGGTACCGGACCCTGGATGTTTGCTTTGTGAGGGAGGGGCATGAGGAGCATTCTCCCTATCCCATTGGGCACCAGACCTCAACCAGAGTCAATTTCGGGTTGACAGACTGTGGATTGGAGCAGTGTTGGAAGAGATGTGGCTGATAATTTGTTGCATTCTACAGGAGATGAGTTCTGGATTGATACTTTGTTGCATTTTACGGTGGCTGTGAGATGCAGCCTGACAATAGGTTACATTCTATGGGAGAGGAGATTGGGTTTATGTAATATTTCATTCTGTCGGAGATGAGATGCAGGTTGATACTTTGTTGCAGTCTATGGGAGATTGCATGACACTGTTGCATTTTCTGGGAAGCTAACTGTGGGATGACAGTTCAGTCTTATTTGCTGGACTGGACTAACATAAGTACCACCAGTGTTGCTGAATTGAGGTGTCCTAGCGGTTCATCTGTCCTCCTGCATGTCCTAGGAGAACAAAGAGGAGTTAAGGGGAATTGCTACCCTGCTTCTCCTCTTTCCAGATGTAGACCCCAATTGTCCAGGAGTCCAAAGTCCCTAGAGAGGCTTGTTCTGCTGTGGCTGGTCTCTGGTTACTGGCATTCTCTCAGAGGGTCAGGCTTCTTGACCATTGTGCCTAGGAGCCCACACACCAGGGACAAGTGTAGACTGAGGCTGACCCCGAGAGAAGTGAATTCGGGTCCATGGAATTGATCTCATTTCTCTTGTCGTCCCACCCCTCTTGTATCTCTGCCTGCCCTTCCTTTCTCTTCGCCATGTGCTCTTCCTCTGGGTCTACCTCTGTCTCCATCTCACCTCTACCACCTGGACTCATGGGCCTATGTCCACTGGCCACACCTGCTCTTTGGGCTAGGACCAAAGAGAACGGGTCAGACAGAGACCCACTGCACCCTGACCACCTCAGCAAACGGCCATGCACGCTGAGCCCTGCCCAACGCTACAGCCCTAGCAACGGGTTTAGCCACCAGCCCAATGGGCTGCCCCACCCCAACCCACCTCCGCCCCAGCACTACCGCCTGGAGGACATGGCTATGGCCCACCACTTCCGAGATGCCTACCGCCACCCTGAGTCCCGGGAGCTGCGGGAGCGCCATCGGCAAATTGGTGAGTGGGAGGAAGGCACACCTGTGTGTGCCTGTGTACATGTGTGCGCATGACTGCAGGTGAGCCTGTGCAAGCCTGCCCTCCACATAGACAAGAAGGGAGGGGCTGTCCAGCTCAGCCCCTAGGGATGCAAACGGATTTGAGATACAGTGGACCCCTAGCTCTGTGCATGGGCCCAAACACTCTTTTCTTGTGGATGGAGCCTGGTGGGCTTTGAACGGGCAAGCTACAGAGATGAGTGGGTGGCCCAGCTATTGTTGACCAATTGGGGCACCACACTGCCCCCTTCCACCACACTGTCCCCACCTCACCACACTGCCCCCTTCCACCACACTGCCCCCACCTCACCACACTGCCCCCTTCCACCACACTGCCCCCACCTCACCACACTGTCCCCTTCCACCACACTGCCCCACCTCACCACACTGCCCCACCTCACCACACTGCCCCCACCTCACCACACTGCACCCTCAGTGCAAGCTGGGAGCTGGCACTGTTAGCACACTCACATTTCAGATGTGGAATATTCCAGAGAACCCCTCAAATGTGTCCAAGCCTCTCGGCACGTTAGCCAGACTCTGGCCTTCCCTCACTCTTCCCTCTATATTGGGAACAAAATTACTAAGTTCCAGGACCCCCAGCATCCAGGTGAGGTGGTCTGAACAGCTAATCTGAAGGTGATTAGGGGACAGACAGGCGCCTGAGGCAAGGTCAGCATTGCTTGTGTCCCCACCCCAACCCAAAAGCAGCATGCGTGGGCTGGGCAAGCAGCAGGTGAGTGTCTGGGCCACCGCAGCCTGGTCAGCCAGGCGCTAATCCCACCCGCTTCTTCTCATGCTAAAGTAAGCAGCAGCTGTCAGGCTCTCCAGCCTCTATTTGAGTTGAGGGATTGGTGCAGACCCTCGCTCCACAGTAGCAGGAAGGGAGCAGGGTGTTGAGGGAATGTTGAGGGACCCCAGCCTTGGCAGCTGGGTGGATGACATGTTAGGCATGGAGGACCAGAAAGTCCTCAGGGGCTGGCGGGTGGAGCAAGAGGTCCCACTCTAGGGAGTGTCCTGTAGACACCAATGACCAGCTGAGAGACCCCACTCCAGGGAACACACTGTGGGTACCAATGGCCAGCTCAGAGGCCCACTCAGCACTTGTCAACACGGGGTGACCAGAGCAAGCAGGAGAAAGCACCCCTGGAGGAGCCTGCATGGCTGCATTTCTGCCCACTCCTATTTTGAGTGATTTTAGTTCTATTATCCATTCGTGGGGCATCCCTGATATTTTGTTGCAGTGGGGTTTTTTGTTTGTTTGTGGTTTGTTGTGGTTGTTTGTTTGTTTTGAAGGTTCCTTGAAGGTCCAGGTTCTCTTCACTCTGTCACCTCCTACCTGGCCACTATGGACTGAAGGATCCCACAATGCCTCTCAGTTTCCTCATCTGTGTAATGGGCATAATTACAGATTTGGACATGAGAATTGGTTACAAGGAAGCAACCCATAAAGATCCTCACAGGCTTGAGTTCTTGTACCACCACACCTCCCTGTGCTTGTGGGCCCAGAAGGGAGGCAGGGCAGGGAAGCTGAGGTGCAGAGAGCCCAGGGGTCCTAGGTCATGTGGGGATCTAACATCAAGCCTGTGACTACCCTTGGACTAATGCATGATCCAAAAGATACTGCTTCACATGTCCTGTGGGTACCGCTCACTCCAGGACAGAGTGGTAAGCAGGACATGCAGGCCTGAACCTCAAGTGGACATAGCCTGAGGGACAGGAGTTCAAAGAGAGAAACTACAGTTACCCAACAAACGGATACACAGAACTAAGGGATTCTGAGGACTTGGAAGGGCACTGTGGCCTGGGCTTTGAGGAATGTGTAGGAGTCCACTCACTTAGAGGAAGCAGAGAAGGGCAGGCTGGGGCTGGTATAACCCTGAAACCTCTGAAGACTTTGAGGAAGTAGTGAGGTCTAGGATGCTTAGCTATGGGGAAGACACAGAAAAGGAAGGAGGCTGGAGGGATGGTCAAGACTAGACCAGGGATGAGGAAATTTTCTGCACTCTCCCCGAGCTCTGAGCAGGGGTAGGGGGCGGTCTGTGCACCCTCCTGGGCACTGGGCAGGCGTCAGTGCTTATTGGCTCCTCATACACCTACCTTCTGGAAAGTGCTCAGTCCGCAGTGGGGGCAGAGAGCGGGGCAGTGAGCAGGGCAGCGCAGTTCACCTGGTCTTAGAGTCCTTCTCCCGTTCCCAGCAGTGCACGGGTCTCGACAGGAGGAGATCATTGACCACAGGCTTACAGACCGCGAGTGGGCTGAGGAGTGGAAGCATCTCAACAATGTGAGTGTTCAGCGAGGGGCCAGCTGGCTGCTAGGGCGGGGCACCAACCTGGGAACTGCACCTGCTCATAGACCCTGACTCCGCCTCATCCCGTGCCCTGGTGCTAGTGGCTGCCACGTGCTGCAGGTGTGTCCCCATCAGCGCTGCCCCGCCCACCACGCGCTGGCCGCCCTCGTTCCTGCCCCGCCCACAGGCTCCACCCCACTCATAGCCCGACCTGCGGGCCGCTCCTGACACCACCTCATCCCACCCCGCGCTGGTGGCTGTCACGTGCTGCAGGTGTGTCTCCACGGCCGCCTTCGCTTCTGGCTGGCCGCTGTGGGGCGGGCAGAGCGAGCGCACAGGAGCCCGCGCCCACCTGGCCTGTGCCGCCCGCAGCTCCTCAACTGCATCATGGACATGGTGGAGAAGACGCGGCGCTCGCTGACCGTCCTACGCCGGTGCCAGGAGGCCGACCGCGAGGAGCTCAACCACTGGCTGCGGCGCTACAGCGACACCGAGGACCTCAAGAAGGTGCCCCCGTCCACCGTGCGCCCCCTCGGCACCTCCGTGGAGGGACCTCCTACAGGTGAGGGCCACTGCCGAACGGGGGAGGGGGAGAGATGTAGTCCAGTGTGGGCCAGACCACCTCAGACGGAGCCAGAAAACGGGACCCCCAAAATGTTACTAGCGAAAGGCCCCAGCTTACCTGACCCCGGCTCACCGTGACCTGGTCTCAATGAAACCATGTGGCATCCTAGACCCCGTGTCTCGCCCGACCCCATGTCTCACTAATGATGTGTACCCCTCACCTTGTGTCTCACCCTCCCCCCGTGTCTCACCGTGATGTGTACCACTCACCCCGTGTCTCACCGTGATGATGTGTACCCCTGACCTCGTGTGTCACCGTGATGATGTGTACCCCTCACCTCGTGTCTCACCATGATGATGTGTACCCCCCACCCCGTGTCTCACCGTGATGTGTACCCCTCACCCCGTGTCTCACCGTGATGTGTACCAGTCACCCCGTGTCTCACTGTGATGATGTGTACCCCTGATCTCGTGTCTCACCGTGATGATGTGTACCCCTCACCCTGTGTCTCACCGTGATGATGTGTACCCCTCACCCCGTGTCTCACCGTGATGATGTGTACCCCTCACCCCGTGTCTCGCCCGGACCCTGCTCACTGTGATGTGTGACACATTATGACCCCATGTCTGTGATAGCTTCCCTCCCTGGGGTTTTCAGTGGCTGGTTTCTCAGCAGTAGGTCACACTGAGGACCACTGGACTGGACAGTGAAGTGCTGACCACCAGAGACCCCATCGTTAAGAAGGGGGCTCAGTGCACTGGACTGATGTGGAAGCCAAGAGGGGAGCAGCCTACTGCCCCACTGCCCCTGAGTCCCCAGGCACGCAGCCCCGGGGCTCCTGACCACCACCCCGACCCCTCCTCTGGCAACTGGTCAGTGTCTCTGCCCCTCAGTGCCAAGGAGACCCCAGCCCCCAGGGAGGAACATGCCCACATCCAAGAGGTGGGGTGAGAGGTCAACCAGCCCGTGGCCACCTGTGGGTGACCCTGCCCCTCTGCTGCAGAAGCCCACCGGGAGTTCATGCCTAGGACGCTGCCCGGCTACATGCCGGAGGAGGTGTGGAAGAAAGCCGGTGAGTGGATGTGGAGTGCCCCGGGGTGGGGCACCCAGAGGTGGGGCTGGAAGGCCAGGTCCCTCCTCCGAGAGCGGCGCCGACTCCCTGGTCCCCGCAGAGGAGGCGGTGAACGAGGTGAAGCGTCAGGCCATGTCCGAGCTGCAGAAGGCCGTGTCAGACGCCGAGCGCAAGGCCCACGAGCTCATCAGCACCGAGCGCGCCAAGATGGAGCGGGCGCTGGCCGAGGCCAAGCGACAGGCCTCCGAGGACGCGCTGACCGTGATCAACCAGCAGGAGGACTCGAGCGAGGTGGGTCGCCCCACGGCCTGGCCAGCCCTCAAGCCTAGCGAGCAGATGCAGGTGTGAGAAAAGGGACTGAACAGGCCAAGCAGCTAGCGAAGATCAAAGCCTGAAATACAGGCCCCCATGTGCCCCAGACACACCTGTGGAGGCAAGTGGGGGGGTCTGAAGAGGGTCCTGACCTGTCCCTCCCCGTCCCTCCCTCACGCAGAGCTGCTGGAACTGTGGGCGGAAGGCCAGTGAGACGTGCAGTGGCTGCAACGCCGCGCGCTACTGCGGCTCCTTCTGTCAGCACAAGGACTGGGAGAAGCATCACCACGTGTGTGGCCAGGGTCTGCAGGGCTCCGCGGCCACGGGCACCGGCCAGCCCGACAACCCCACCGGCCCTGCGCTGCCCCTGGGCTCGGCCAGCCCCAGTGAGGCTGGCTCCGCAGCACCCTCACGGCCTGGCTCCCCGGGCCCGCCTGGCCCACTTGACGCTGCACCCCGCTGACCCTGACACCTGGCCAATGGACGCCGGGCCTTGCTGGCCTCTCCCGGCCCGCTGGACACCGTGCCAACCAGCCGGCACCAGGGAGCCTGTCTGATGGAGCCACTGCTGCTATTGCTTCTCCAAAAGAGACACCAACAGAGCTGTGTCCAATGCAACCTATCCACCTACCTGACTCATCAGCACTCCTGACACTGCTCCCTGCGCGAGCATCCTTAGAAACCTCAACTGGGAAGGGGCCAGCGAGCCACACCGCCCACCACAGGCCGGGGCCAGAGAGCCACACCACAGGCCGGGGCCAGTGAGCCACACCACAGGCCGGGGCCAGCGAGTCACACCGCCCACCACAGGCCGGGGCCAGAGAGCCACATCGCCCAACACAGCCCGGCCAGAGAGCCACACCACAGGCTGGGGCCAGTGAGCCACACCACAGGCTGGGGCCAGTGAGCCACACCACAGGCCAGCTAGCTGCACCGCCCACTGCGGCACCTCAGCCCCTGGCCGTCCTCTCAGTCTGCCCGGTCTCCACCTTGCCTCTCTCGCGCTCCCATCACCCCCTTTGTGAATTTCACGTACTCTTTTTAATGAAGAAGGAAAGACTCCAGTTCGTTTGTAGTTTGTATTTTCAGCAAAGACTTTTTTTCTTTTTTTATTTTGTTCTGTTGGTGAAAGAACAACTCAGAAACGGTCAAAGAAAACCATGGGGTCCCTCTCTGAACTGAAAAGAGGAATGAAAGCTGTTCCTTCCCAGCCAGGCCCATCCTGGGCTGTGTCACCGCACGGCCTACGCTCGCACTGACTCGCCAGGGCAGCCAGAAAGGGCTCAGCCTCGGACTCAAGGCTTTGGTTTCTGTTTCCTTTTTCTCAATAATGTCAACTCTTTGGCTTTAAGTAGAAATCCAAAAAAAAAGAAACAGTAACAGAAGCATACCTGTCAACTACCTTGTTAGCTAGCCAGCCAAGGATGCCGGACACACCTCTGCTCCAAAGGAAATCCAAAAAGCAAATGCAAGAAATCAAAATCCAAAACGGTTTGGTCACTGCCAAAGGATAGTTTTCCCCCACTGTTTGATTCCACTCTTGGGTTTGTTTGGATGTCAATTTTTCATTTTTGTTTTTGGGGTGTTGGGATATTGGGGCCTCAGGCATTTGCCACAAGCAGCATCCTTTTCTGTCCTTCGTGCTAAGCGACCCCACCTTCACCAGGTGGAGATGGAGGGAATGGTGGCAGCCCGACCCAGCTGCATACCTGCGGGCCCCCTCCGTGCGCATGGGTTCCTATGTGTAAACGTGTGTGTGCACGTGTGTGTGTGCACACGTATGTCTGTGTGTACATGCACCTTGTGTGTCTGTGCACACACATACTCGTGTGCACATGTGTCTGTGCATCTGTCCAGCACTTAGCCACAAGTCGACGTGTGTGTAGGAAGATACCTTTGTCTGTCCTCACACCCTCTCTGAATTCATCACATTTGATTCTTCTACTTGTGAAAAAATATGAAGTGCTAATGTGTTCCTCCTGAGAGCACACTATTCCAGGACAAAACTGTGACAATCTTTTGGGTTGGTTCTGGGCTGCTCTTCTGAGCATGAGGTGATGGCTACTGCGCCCACAGCGACCAAGTCTGGTGGCCCCTCCTACCTCTCCGCCCTCCTTGACTCAGCCCCCTAGCCCCCTTGTACTCACGGCCCCGCTTCTTGCTTCCAGATGTTTGCAGGGAAACAGAAGTGAAAAAGAATTACCAAAACAGCCTGCACTCACCTCACCTCAGATCAGATCCCAAGAACCTTGGGTCAGCTGTGTATAACCCTCCCTCAGCCCAGCGCCTTCACTAGTGCCCACCTGTCCGCACTGGGCTGGCCTCTGGTGCCAGTTTCCCACTCGCTTCACCCCAGTCGCCACCTTCAGTGACTCTGAGGAGGAACACAGTAACAGGTGCCAGAGGGCCCCACTCCTGCTCGGTGAAGAGCAACAGTCCAATGGTGGGGTGCTGGCCTGAGCTCCACAGAAAAGAGTGCAATATGGAGAATGACCCCAGCTACTGACCCGGGGTTCTGGGAGACCCCGCCGAGAGGCAGGAAGTCAATGCTGTATGTTAATGTGAATGTATATAGTCTGCAGAGGTCCAAATAATGACATTCATGGTGATGGTGATGATGATGATAATGAAGAGATGTTTGCCAAATAAAAACACTGAAGTATGTGATACAGTTGGCAGACTTGAAAT